TGTAGCTAGCTTAGTAGTTTTCTAATATCCTACGTACAAGGCCTATAGGTGTCATTAGTATTCCCAGGTCTCTAAGTCCCCACGCACTCCCATATGCCTCTGAGTGGATTCATACCGCATTCAGACCTATTGTCTTGCCTGCGCCGTTACATAGGCTAGACTAGAGACAACTACTAGTGCTAGTGCTAGCCCTAGCATTATCTATATATATATTATACTATGCAAGAATACTTAGCTTAAGTATTCTTATGCGTACCTTTTAGTACAGTAGAGAAAGTTATACAGTATTAGCTTAGCAGGCAAGGCGTCTACCTTATTACACAACACTAGAGACTGCAAGGTGTTAAAAAAAGGATGTAAGAGGTATTAAGCAGGAAACACAGGTCACAGAGAGGGAATGCAGGATAGGGGGTTAATAAAAGAGAGTAAACCTTAGGGTTAGAGGCAGAGGTACAGAGGCTAAGAAGCCTATATACCCTGTGCTAAGCCCTTAGAGTACTTAGGGGTTAGATAGCTGTAACATAACTATAACAAAGAAAAACTATTATAAAAGAAAAAACATATTAAAAGCTAAAGCTAAAACATGTTCTCTTAATTATAGCTAATAATTAACTAATTTCTAAATAACTAGTTTTAAATTTACATAAACTTTAAGTTTTTAAAAAAGAACTTTTACTAACTTAATTAAAGCTAAGAATTAGCTAGCTATTATTTACTTTTTTTTTAGCTATATTAGTGTTTTAGAGGTTAGCATTAGCTATCTTAGTGTGTTAGTAATTAGTTACATGCTCTAGTTAAATATTATTATTATACATCTATTACCTATCTAATACTACTTTACTAAGCATTATGCTGTAACTATTATTTAACCTAAATAACCTACTTTAATGCGCTAACTATTACTATTGCGTAAGAAGAGCACAGGGACCTAGCGTCACCTACATAGGCCTAGTGTTGCGCCTGTGTTTTAGATAAGCAGCCTAAGACACTTAGCGTCTAAGCTCTCTATAAGCCTTTTATAGTTAATAGACTTACTTTTTATTGCTCTCTAATTAGCAGTTGCAATAATTACTCTAAGCAAGCTTTGCTTTTACAGATTATTTATAAACTGTTGTAGTATTTTACAGCTAACTTATAAAAGCTAGATAATAATAAAAAGTAAGTAATTATTTAGCACATACTTAAGCTAAATGCGCAAGGATTTCCCCTCTAGCTAGTAGCTATAGCTAATATAGCTAATTCTTTACACACTAAGCATAATATAGGCTATATTAGCATAAACTAGCTTAATATATTTATTAAGTATTACCTAAAGCTTAAAGTAAAGTTTAAGTATAAGTATAACTATAAAAAAGCTTTTTATAAAAATCTTATAGTAATTTAAAGCTAGTTTAACTTTATAAAGAATATTAAAGTTAAGTATAGTATCTAAAATAATAACATGTATAACTTTAATAAAATAAGGTTTATAATAGGCTAGATATCTACTAGAGTAGTTGTTATAAGTTTAGAAAAATAAAAATAGCTAAAAGCAGTCTAGCTAGGCAACTAGAAGTAAATAATAGCTATTTAAGACATTAATGCTAAAAGGTAAGCTATTTTACTTTTTATTATTTTTTAAAGTAGTAACTACTTTTTAAACTAGTATAAAAAAAATTTACTTTAAAATTATGTTATTATAATTTCTAAGTGCAGCTAGACTACTAATTAGCTTAGTCTAAACTAGTTAAAGCACTTTAATACACATATAAAAAAGTGTACTATTAGTAGCTACTATTTACTAGTTATTAACAGCTATAAAAGCTACAACTTACTTTATTTTTAGTAATACTATAAAGATAATAAGATTATTACTATCTATTGTAACGGCGCAGGCAAGACAATGGGTCCGAATGCGGTGGGAGTCCACTCAGAGGCATATGGGAGTGCGTGGGGACTCTGAACCTGGGAATGCCATTGACACCTATAGGCCTTGTACGAAAGGATATCAGAAAACTACTGAGCTAGCTACAGGGGCGAGGTGCGACTAAATACATGAGGGAATAGGGGTAACAGCAGGGGTCGGGGCCAGGTCGAGGTCGGGGCCGATACGAGGGCCTTCCGGAGGTTCCGGGCGACTCGAGATGGAACGATTCATGAGGATCGTTACATCTATATACTTTTTTACTTATTACACTTTTTATAGCTACTTAATGTAGGTTGTTTTACTTCTTTAAAAAAGGTATATAGGTGCTAAGCTAAAAACCTTATACATAACTAAATTACTTATATTATAAAAATAAAGTTCTTACTATGCTTTAAAGTAGCTTATAATGCTATAATTACTTTTAGTAATATTTAAAAAAAAGTTTTAAAGCGCTAAATTAGTTCCTTTTAACCTATAATAAGTTATAATAAGCCTTAATATAAAGTTACGCACTCTATTACTACTACTACTTATATATAATAAGCTCTAGTAGTTGTAAACCCTAAGTAATACTTTAAAACTTAAGTTATAATTAATGCTTATAAAAATAAGAATTTAAAAGCATATAAATAGTTTACTAACTTTTATAGTTAAAGTGTTTAAAAAAGTTTTAAAAAGAGCAGTAATAATTATGCATAAGCTAGTGTTAGTATAATAAAAAATTACTAAGCTTTAAGCAGCTAATAAGGCTACTACATAACATAAATTACATAAAAAAAAGTAGATTAAGGCAGAAAAAACTTTAATAATTTAAAAAGGCCTATACTTAACAGCTTTAAAGGAGTTTAGGGCGCGCAGTAATAGGAAGAAGGCAAAGAAGCAGGTGCAAGCTAAAGTAAGTAAGCTATTCTAAAGGCGCTGCAGATAGTGCAATTAGACTAGGCATAACACGCAAATGTGTAAGCAAGAAGCAGAAGTAGTATCTAAATAATATTCTAGGCTATACTGTACTATATAGTGCTAAAGCGGGTTGTTATAGGCTATAATAGAGTTTGTTAGGGTGGGGTCTTAGCAAAAGTAAGCAACTCAGGTGTGTGAGCGACTCGCCCATGAAGTACGTTAGCATAAAAAATTAAGTAAAAGACTAATTGTTTAGAATAGTTGCCTATTTAGCCTTAGCGCTAAATTAATTCATAGATCTGATCTAGATCCAGGATAGCGCCACGTGATTCCGGATAATCGATTCGGACCGATTCCCGCCAGCACTGTCCCCACTTAATCTAGTGCCCTACAGTCGCCCATACGAATTCCAACCTTCTCCCTCTTTACTAAGACCTGCAATCCATATCAAGTCTAATGCTAGAAAGCCACTCCGAAACTATGGCAAACTCTATCACCACTTTCTCCCATGGCACACCAGTTCCAGCCGATGGAAAATTCCACGTTGATCCATCGAACCCAATGAACCAGATCAAGTACCTTGAGACATGGTATCCGCCTGGCGTATCAGAAATGCTGTGGGGTGGCAATACCTCACAGATAGCACTGCTCCCGGATGGGACTGTACTCAAGTATATCTGGGACAGGGACGATCACCGCGCGAAGAACTGCCTCGAAATCGAACATTCTATCCTCTTAGCTCTAGGAGACCATGAAAGAATTGTTAAGTACATAGCAAAACACGAGCATGGCCTTCAATTTCAGTTCGCCGCCAATGGCGACGTGCGCCGCTACATATCAAAGCACGATCCAAGCAGGATCCCCCAGCAGCAGCGCCAGAAATGGGCAAAGCAAGCTGCTGAAGCCCTCGCCTTCGTCCACTCAAAAGGCGTCATTCATTGCGATATCCACCCAAACAACTTTCTTCTTGACGAGCATCTTAATCTCCTGCTTTGCGATTTCGCTGGATCATTGTTTGGCACGCTAGACGGGGGTGCTATGGAGAGCATCCGGTTTTTTCTTCCAAGAGATCCGCTTGCAACACCAGGCGTAAAGTCAGACCTATTCGCGTTAGGTTCGGCGGTATATTATATTATGGCCGGCCACGAGCCGTATGACTCCTTATCAGACGATGAGGTAACAGCCCGCTATTTAAGATTCGAATTCCCAGATGTGCATAGCTATACATGCGGTCGAGCTATCGAGGGCTGTTGGAAAGGGGATTTTACTAATGCACAAGACGTAGTAAAAGCTATGTTGGAAGCAATACCTCCAGATATGAGTGGAGTTACGGCTGATACGGTTGATGGGTAGGCCGGGGAGATCGAGGAGGATGGACAGGACGAAGAGGGCGAGGAGCTCTAAGTTAGATATTAGGAATACAAGAGTAAGGCTGAGGGCTGAAGTTGGGCTGTTGTAGTGATTTATATAGCTGTAGAATGAATTAAAAGACACCATTTCCGTCTCTTAACCCCACATGTCGTGAGCATATCTGTTTGCAGTGGTGACACTCCGATGTGTCGGATGCGTCGGCACCAGGGTTGCCACTTTTTAGTAATAGTAATTACTATTTCTATAAATAGATATTTTATAGATAAAGATTTTAAGTAGTAAAAGTAATAATTATTATAATAGTATATAATAATTCTTATATCTCTAGTAATATATAAAGCTTTGTTATTTAAAAAAAAACTATATAAGCTAAAAAAAAAAACGTTAATAAGTAATAACTATAATTTAAATAACTATAATATATATAATAATAATATATAATAACGCTATATAATACTATTTAACATACATATTTACTTTACTAAAGTTATTCTACTTATTAATATTACTAAGTTTATTTATATTATATTTGTCTAAACATTAGTATTTAGATACGCTGTTAGGCGTCACGTGACATAGTCTTGTGTCACAGTTACACGCACAAATAGATAAATATTCCTTTCCTTTGCACAGACTTAGAACAAGAACAATTAACACCAGTTACCTGCTATCCTCCCCCCTCCCCCCTCCCCCCGCGCGATGTGTACACCGTGCAACCCTCTTTGCCTCGCACGTACTTGCTAATTGCAAATGCTAGCTAGCATAGAGCCTATTTAACACTAATTAGTAGATTAAATGCTTGAAACAGAAAGCTTTTCTTATACCTTTCTATTTAAATATTATATATAAAAGATTTTTTTTAACTAATTTAACTATAAATTAGCAAGAGTAAAAATAAAGTTTAATTTATGTGTAAGTAGCTATAAATCTTTATTTAGTTACCTAATAAAAAGTAGAAAACCTGTTTGTATAATACTATTTAGAGTTATTATATAAATAGTAGTGCTTATTTAATGCTAGAAGGTCTATTTTATCTTTTTACATAAGGATGTTTAGAGGTAGCGTACAACAAGAAGTAAGACAGCGCGCAACAACGCATAATTAACTACTATAAGGTAATAAGCAACGCTAGCTCTATCTCTAACTTGCTAACATAATATATTAACATATAACTAATACATACCTTTAGTAGGCATCTTAGCAAAGACTCTAGCAGAGCAGATAAATATTAAAAATTAAGTAGATAAAATTAAACTATTAAATAACACACTTAAAAAAAGCTTAATTTATACATAACTAACTTAATTATAAAACTCTGTATATTAAAAGTAATAAACATATAAACATTTAAAAACTTTTAAAATAACTTTATAAAGTAAAAGCTTATACACTTTAAAGATTTTAGCTAACTATTTTTATAAAAACTAATTACTACTTTATAAAATAAAAGTATTAGCTTTAAAAAAGATAAAATAAAAGCTGTTATACTATATAAACTTATAAAAAAACACACTTTTACTATTTTATTAGACTACTATACTAAACTATTACTACTAGCGCTAGTTTTAACGCTATAGAGGATGTCTCTATACAAATTACCTATAGACTTAATGCTTCTTCTGTAATTAGTACAACTACCTTATAATAGCTTACTATACAAGAGCATAACTAGGCAGCTACATATTCCTATAGCTATAGCTCTGCATAAGATTCTCTAAAGCTTATACCTACTACATATAATTTAATTACTATATAATCTATACTAACTTCTACCTATACAAGATATTATAGTAGAGAACCTTACGCCTTGTCACGGTATCCTCCCCGGATCCCAGACATAACTGTATTAGACGCGTACTAGAGTATTATTAGTGCATGTCTGACACAAACACAACATAACACAGACATAAACTTAAGCACAAACTGCCTTAACACTAACTAAACCTAAAATAGGCTTAATTTATACCTAAAGCGCTTAGACTTCTAAGCTAAGTATTTAATTACTAATTTTCTTCTAAACCTTCTTGTTCTTTACATAATGTCTTGTACTTACTATAATACCTTACGTAGTAATTAAACTAGACCTTTGTAAAGCTTTATAACCTTACTTGTGCATAATTATAACATTACATTATGTTAAAACCCTAGCTAAGAATAGCCTTTAAATTTAATTTAATAAGCTTAGTACTTATATAACTCTAAGCTATTAAAGTAAGCTAAAAAGCCTTTTAAAAAGCGCTTACTTTATAAAAAAGCTACTATGTTATAAGCTTTAAAGCTTTTTAAAAGGACTTTAAAAAATAGCTTTATGTTATTAAGCAGTCTATTTCTACCTTAACTTCTGTTATAGTAGTAGGAACTAAGAACTTACTAGCCTTAAAGCCTACTTAGAAGTCTAGAGATAGCTTAACTTCTTTCTACTTAACACTGCTTATAACCTGTAACCTTTCTAACTTAGTAATAAAATCTAACTAACTCCCTAATCCCCTACTATTTAATAGAAAATAGAAAGACTTACCTTTCTTTCTACATAAGCTCTAATATAAACTTAAAGAAAACATAGACTAATTTCTCTCTAAACACTTTTAGTTACTATATGCCTACTCTTAACTTAACTATAACATAACAGCCTTAATTAACTTACTAATAAATAAAAATATTATTAACTTAGATTAATTTATAGTGTTTTTATAAGTAACTTATAGAGACCTAAATAAAAAGTTAATAGCCCTAAGTTACTTAAACACTTTATAATAAAAAAAAAAGCTTTACTTTACACTTTACTAAGTTCTACTAACTTGCATTTAATATAGGCCTAAATAAAATAAGTCTAATTATAGCCTTATGTAACTCCCTCTTAACTAAACTGTAACACGCTATAGTAGGAGAACCCCTTCTAAACAACTTTAACGCATATGTGAACCTAATTGCTACCTACAATAATAACATAAGGTTCCTCCCTGTACAAGCCCTAATACGCCCCTAAACTAGCGCAGTTATAAATAAGAACTCTAACATAATAAAAATTAATTTAAATTATGCTCTAGTTAGTTTTAAAAAGTGTAAAGATTATAAAAAAAAAAGTTAATGCTTTAAGTGTAGTAAGTATAGTTATATCTTCTAAAACTGCTTTATTCCCCTTTTTTAAGTCTACATAAGTAGCGCTGCTAGCACTTATTAAAGATTTTTACTATTTTAATCTTATTTTTATAAGGGCTCTAACTTATATTTAAGCTCTAATCCCCCTTACTACTTTTAACATAGCCGCAGCTATAGCAGTAGAAGCCTGCAAAAAGGCTTGTTCTAGGGCTAAGTTGCCCTCTAGGACTAATTTAACACTAGATCTCTGCTAACCTATAGGCTAAGTCCTTTACTAATAACTAGAAGTACTAAGTTAATATTTCTATATATTTATAATAAAAAACTATATTAGCTTTAATATAAGCTCTTATTAACTTAGAAGCAAACAGTATAAGTTACATTAATAAAAAACTAGTGTGTAAACTAAATTTTTAATTAACACTACTTACCTAAATAATTTACTTAACTAGATTTAATAGAAAATAACTTAAAAAAAGTTCTATTTTCTATACTATAACTATTATAATTACTTACTAACACTATAAGAAGCAGATTAAGCTCTATGTAATAAACATAGAATGTTATAACCTAATCCTAGAACAACTATAGCTGTATTAGCATAAAGTTACTTTTAATTACTAAGAGTAAGTTTTAAACTTTAACTCTTTTTAATACTAAAATATATACTTACACTTACACCTAAACAATACTTAAATAGCACTTAATATAGAAGGTCTCTAAACCTACTTTCTAATAACCTAGAAAAAAACTACCTAAGTAAGGCTAATAAGCTAGGCCTTTTACTAAAATAGGCTATGTAAAATAATTTAATAACTGCTTAAACCTAAAAAAAAGAAAGCCTTTAAGGAACTTTTACTTACTTAATTTAAACACAAACTAGGACTTAAACAGCAGATAGACATCTGCTACATAGGACTTGCTTTATTTATAACCTTAGCTTAATAACTAGATTATAAAATCTACGCAGTTATAATTTCTAATATAGACTAAGCTTTAGCTCTTTAAAAATACACTAACTTAAGGATAATAGTTTCTTAAGACTACTATAACTTATTACATGTCTTTTTTTAAGACAAGTTTAATAAGCTTTTAATACAACATTTATATAATTACTAGATAACTCTTAAGCTTAGTAAATAACCTAGTTATAAGCTACTATATAAGATGTTGCTAAACAAATTAAAAGTGCTCTAAAAATACTTTAATAAAAACCTAAAAAAAGGGTTTATTTAAGCTAGCTTCTTACTAGTAGTGTTACTTATACTATTTATAAAGAAACCTAGAGGTAGGCTTTAATTCTGCGTTAACTACTAAAAACTAAATACTATTACTATTAAGAACTAATACTTAATTTCTTTTTTATAAAAAACTCTAAGCTAACTAAGTAAAGTAAAGTATTTTATAAAGTTAGATATTATTACTACCTTTAATAAGCTAAGAATAGTAAAGGGTAATAAGTAGCTAATAGTGTTTTAGACCTAATACAGACTATTTAAGTACCTAGTAATGCCTTTTAGCTTAGCTAACGCGCCTAGTACTTTTTAACATTTTGTAAATAACTTACTCTAACCCTACCTAAACATGTTCTGCACTATGTATATTAATAATATTCTAATCTACAGTAATAGCCTTTTAGAGTACAAACAGCATGTACGCCTAGTGCTAAAGGCTATAGAAGAAGTAGGTCTACAACTTAATATAGACAAATATAAGTTCTACTAATTAAAGGTTACATATTTAAAATATGTAATCTTTATAAATAGCATTTAAATAGACCTTATTAAGGTTTAGACTGTGCTAGATTAGTAATACCTAAAGAATATAAAGAATGTTTAAGCTTTTATAGGATTTACTAACTTTTACTAATAATTTATTAACAACTTCTTATAGCTAGTAAGCCCTAAAATTACACTTACTAAAAAAGAAGTTTAATTTAACTTTAACTTAAATTACTAATAGTCTTTTAACTAGCTAAAAAAAGCCTTTACTAAAGCTTTAATACTCTACTACTTTAACTTTAAACTACTAATACTTATAGAAGCTAATGCCTTAGACTATATAGTAGCAGGAGTTCTCTTCTAAACTAAGCTAGATAGGACTATTAGGCCTATTACATACTTT